AATTTAAAGTTTCAATATTTGTGGCTACTTAGGTGGAACTGGTTGACTTATTCCAAATTACTTGATGGCGCATTTTGCAAATATTGTGTTTTGATTAGTTTGAATTATCGTGGTGTAGGTAGTCAGCCTATGGATAAGCTATCAAAAATTTCATTTTCAAACTGGAAAAAGGCAACAGACAAGTTTAATGAGCACCAGCAATGTGAGTATCATAAAAGAGCAATTTTACTTTCCCAAAATCGTAAATCGGTGATGGAGAAAAAAAAATTAACTTATTAAAATCTCCTTAAATTTATCATAAGTCAACAAATTCAAGAAAATCGTTTAAGATTAGCGCCCATAATAGAATCTCTAATATTTTGCGGCCGACAAGGAAATTTTTAGTTGGAGAAAACTGCTGAAAATGATGGAAATTTGATTTTTATAATTTTTTTACGATAGTGTACATGTGTTACTTGTTACAAAACAATAGCTAATACTAAGATAAGTTAGTCGGTGGCACCCACGAGTTTCTATTGTCACCAGCCACCAATACTTTACACGCACGCACTTACACATGCATATGTACACACACACACACACACACACACACACACACATATATATATATATATATATATATATATATATATATATATATATATATATATATATATATATATATATATATATATATATATATATATATATATATATATATATATATATAAAATGCTGGAAAAAATTTGAACCCCCCCCCATGAGACGATCCTGGCTACGCCACTGCACACAAGAGATAAAAGGGAATGGCTCCCACACACCTACAGACGTTATACCATTTCATCTTTGACCCTTTAATTAAAACTACTAATTAGATCCTCTTCAGTGTGGGTGTGTTATCTCCCCTCTCGTCACTACACAACGTTCTATAATCCCTATTCACGAAGCCTCCTACAACCTATCCCTAATGTTAACTTTCTTACTGTTACAGCACGTTACCTGGACGTGGGCGAAGGGGGGGGGATGGAGGTTAATAAGTGCTAATTAAATTTACCCCTGTTTCGGCTCTGCATGACTGATTAGATCTACGTTCGTGACGTGGCATGTTTTTGACGTCCGTCAAATCACTGACCTGAATATCGTCTCCCCCCCCCCCCCCTGCGACACATGGTATCATCTGGTTTTATTTCTGTGTTGGTTAAGGGAGGGGAGGGGGGCATAAGAAAGACTTAAGAATCGCAACACATTCTCGCGTATACCAAAGATCGATACTGGCGTAGGTTGATAAATAAACCGGAAACGGGTCACTCTTCTGAATGATTTGTAGCGTCATAAATAACCGTATTCGATGTTTTTGTAGATTCGCAACAAGATAAACGTATTCGACTACTCCATGGGTTTTGCGTGTGGTTGCATTTAGAAATGCTATTCATTACTTAATGTTACATTTGTATAGGCCTACTCGAGTATATAAATTTTGATATACATGTTACTGAAAACCTTACACTAAAGTACAAGGTACAATTAGAAATCAAAACTAGATGTAGAAAATACCATTTGAAAATATGGAAGTTTTGTGTAAAGAGGATGGCTATGGTATATTAGTGGGTAATCTCTAGTAATTTATTTTTTCAGTTTTATTTCGTATTTTTCCTTTGAACAATTTTGTTACTGTTTTCATAAACTTGATCAAACTTACAGTATTCTCCAGAACTTGAAGAGTTCCCTTTTTCATCTCAATATTTCATTGACATGACGTCAAATGTATGTGTACACTCTCGCGACAAGACAAACTATGGCAGGGAATGGGGAGGGAGGGGGGGGTGGCGTCCCTGTTTGAAGTTGCCAGTGTACCACGTGATAAGGCTTAGCAAACAAAATTTTAAGATTAAGATTCTAAGAGATCGCTGAGGAGGATATTTTTTTCTCGGCACTATTTGCTTTGTTGAGGACATAAGTAAACACACTTACCCGTACAATTTTTTTTTTAAATAAAGCGGGGTATGACAGCCTGAACTGTTCTGAACGTAAGATTTGATAAAAGACTTAAGTTGAGCTGTCTGACAAGCCGGCAAGATAAAAAAAAAGTTTAATGTACGAGTCTGTGAAACCTGGCCACTAATTGGAGACGTAACTCGTTTTGTGCAGACTTACTACTAATACTACACAATAAATTTATGATTTTATATTCTCCGCGATATCTCGTGGTAATCAAAAAGTTATACATTTTAAATTGAATGGGCGTGTGGGGTACATTCCTGAACTTTCGGTTGAGCCGTTAAGCATTATCATAGGGCTTCTAATTAATATTTTGGCGCACGCAGCCTATTGGATGAATCATCAAGCTAGCCGCCCATTAAACATAATAGTTCTCCCAGATGTCTCCATTAGTGAATATACTTTTAAAAGTATAATTTTCGTATAGTATTTCACTCGCGGTCAACGTCTGTTTGATTACGTCATCGCCGCCCGCAGAGTTGGGATGAGTCCAACATGACTCAAGCATAATGTGTTTGTTTTGTTTCGCTAATCGTTAGTTGTTTTTTTTTCCCGTGCACATTTTTTATCAGTCACACCGTTGCTAGATGCAGCCACTTGAATTGTGATGCACACTTCACAAAATCCCACTCTTTACGGCCCCGGGGGGGGGGGGGCACAACTTAGGCAACAGGTGGTTTTTCACTAGCCGTGTCTAGGAGCGGGGGGTCCCCACCTATGACAGATGTCCGCGTAAAACTACATACATTGTGTCATCGTTTTGTCTCGTATCCCCATAGCTGCGAGCGTTTTAAACTTGTGCAAATCCGGTAACACTATAGCAAACTGAATCGGTCTACTTAGTTTATAAAACATAATTTATTACTCATTAATTGATTAGTTTTAAAAGTAATTTCCTTTAAATAAACTCTGTTTAGTTTCAACGCTGAATATAAATGTATGTTGATTGTTTCTCCTCCCCACACCCCACCCCGATCCCCTTTCTTAACACGACTCCTTCTTCCACTTTTTAACCCCCCCCCCCCCTCCCCCCAACAGTCTAATGAACCGGGCTTCCTGTTGTTAGGTGTAACACCAGCCATCAATGTCAACCTACCGCAAAGTTTTAAAAAAAAATGTAAATCTTGGGCTAAATTCTTGTCAAGCACAAGCACACACACACCTACACAAGTACACACACACTCATACATACACACATACAGGCGTACTTATACATTCCCGCAATTCCTAGTTAAACGCTGAGATATTCACAAACAGCCGAGATATTATCGGATCATTGTGTCACACGGCAAGTTTTTGATCGATTTTCTCCCCCCCCCCCCTTGCACAAATGTTCCTGCACATTCTTGTACGCGGTGTACTTTTGATGTACACAATGGCGAGATGGTGGTGATTATTTGCAATGGGCTTGTCACTTTTTAATCGGCGATGAATAATTTTACTTTTAAGTATAGTTATTGAGATTCAAAGATGCGAGAAATTTATTTTTGAACTTGGTTGTGCAATATAATAAATCAGAAACTTTAATGGCGGGAGCAAACACCATTGCACTCTATATCGTTATAAGTGGACCCTATACTATTTCAGCTCACTTCTGCATGCCTAACTGTAGACCTATAATAATGTAAACGACTATTACATTTTGGTATAAAGATACACAAACGCCATGATCGGCCACCAGATGCCAACGATCGCTAAGTTTAGGCTATTTCGAGACACAGAGAAGCCACGCTGACTTGGCAAGGAGTTATTGATTTTGTCTGGCTAGATATTAGCTAGTCTGGGTCAAAGGTGAACGGGCCGGGCGGAAACTCTTGAATCGGCCAAAAAAAACATGTCATTGCTACTTTAGAATTCTATTTTCTAACCAGCTAATGGGAGAATTGCGTGATTGGCTAGGTGTGTTCAACACGACAGCCCTGTGCTGCCTGTGGGAGGGGGTATGTGTAGGAATGTTTTCGATAATACATCACCACTAGGGCCTAGACATGTCAAGATTGACACCTAGGCTTCCGGGCGAATCGAGTAGTCTAGAGTTACTTTTTCCTATATCTTCTCAACGAGCTCGATTCGTCTTTTTCTTTTCCATTTACCTTCTGGTCATAAAATATAATTTTACTTGCGTTGTGTTTGCTTAATTGAATAACACTCATTACCTTAAAAAAATCTATGACCGAAACTCTAAACAGTTTTTTTAACATTATGACCTGACTAGTTTTTAATATTTACTCACTTAATATGGAAGAAAAACTCATCAATTTTTATAAAAATGAAAGTGGAGCCACCGTACGACATAAAATGCCATTGTAGTATGCCGGACGCCATACAAATAGCCACCTGCCAAGTCTGCGATGAACAGCCTTGATGCCATCTATACAATATTTCACTGTTTCTCCGCATGGACCAGCTTGGGGGAAGAACAAAAGCGACATTTAATCAATACTAATTAGATAGCTGGTGGCGCCCTCTGGAATAAAGTCTCGAGTGCTGTGTGAGCACGTTTGACGTCATATCAAGACAGGGGGAAATGTCGTGTTCTGGAATATTCGATGTACGGACTGACCCCGGCAAAGAGAAAACTTTTCTTTAAATTCTTCTTTAAGTAGTAACTTGTATGTCGTGAACTGAATACTATCGTGGGTTCAACAACAAATTTGTTTTTAAAAAAAAACTTAACCATTTGAATCAGAACTGTTGTATAATTACCCATATGAAAAATGTTAAAGCTATACTCAGAGCGCCCTTCAACATCCTCCCCATTCACTCTCACCCCTCCACCCACCCCACTCGTACACACACACACAATTTACATAATATTTTCTGCATAAGTCTTGCGGCCATTGGGTTGAGTAGGCTAACTCCAATTACTTACGATATGAAACCCAAGGGAGGCAATCAGTAAATTGTAATTACTCGTTTACTTTATTTTACTTCCCTTGCATTGCTCTATTAAAATCTAAATTCTAATCTTTGTATTAGTTAATTTAAACCAATATTTTAAAAAATATTTTTTTTCTTTTCAGCATTCTTACCCTAGAGAACCAAGCCAAAGACTACAGAAAGAAGATCGACACCTTCGGAAACCAAATTGGAGAGTACGAGGGAGAACTCCAGACCCTGAGACACAGAGTTGGCTCCCTTGAAGATGAAAATGCTAAGATCCGTGAACTCTTGGAGAAGGTCCAAGCACAGTGCAGACGTCTTCGCTCAGTACGTCATGTTTATACTTTCTCAAACTTGCAATGCTTTAAAACTTAAGGAAATCGATAAAAATAAAAGAAATTCTAAATTAATGGTGCTACAGTTTGTAAATCTAAACCACATTTTTATTACATTTGTGGCAACAAAAAAAAAATTTGTAACTTATAATTATAATACATATAATTTCCTTAAAAATTTTTTGTCTTGTTCTAACATGTTTGATAAATTTTATATTTTATTAATTTTAAGTATACATAATTTTTTTTATGCCAAATACTAAATAAAACTTTGTACTGTTTTTTTCTACTTAGGATCTGGATGCTGAGACAGCAGCTCACATTGAGGCTGATTGTCTTGCCCAGACTAAGACTGAAGAGGCTGAGTTCTACAGAGATCTCCTCGACCAGGTAACTATTGTTTCTTTGTTTTTAGTTGGTTTTTTTTTGCCAGATATTATAATTATAATAAGTAGACCTAATACCCACACAAAAAAAAATTATTTTATATGGCCATGTGTATACAATGTATCTAACAATTGGTTTTTTTGCTGTCCACCTAGTATGAGTTGATGAAGCCAGAACCAGTCCAGATCAAGGGCATGGACTATGCTGACTTCTGGAAATCTGAATTGGCCAAGTGCGTCAGAGAGATCCAGGCTGCTTACGATGAAAAGATTGACATCATCCAACAAGACTGTGAAGCTAAATACTCTGCTCAAGTAAGTCAACATCACTACAACTAAAGAAACCTTTACAAAAAACATTTTTTGAAGTAAATTTTAATGAATTTTGTCAATGTACATACGATATCAACTTTATAATTTTTCTTCAGATTAACCAATTGCGCTCCGGCAATGTTAAGGATGGCATGCAATTATCTCACAGCCAAGAAGAGTGCAAGAAATTGAAGGGTCAACTCCAGGAGAAGAATGCTGCTTATGCTGATCTTGCTGCCAAGGTAATTTATAATGCTATACTTAACTAATCCTATTGTTTTTGCTATGTGTTGTCGTTTTTTTTTTTTATATTTATTTAAATTATGCAGTCCATGTAATTAAAAAAAAAATTTAATTTCCGCTCATAAAAGTCTCCTTGAATTTGTCCGCAGTTTGCCACCATCCAAGCTGAGCGTGATGAACTGGCTCGTCAAGTGAGTGAACTGGAGCGCGAGTTGGAGGAGCTGAGAATCAAGTACAACCAGGACTGCGAGGCCATGGAGAGCGAACTCCAGAGTGTCCTTGCCCAGTTGCAGCACCTGATGGATGCCAAGATGTCCTTGGAGCTGGAGATTGCATGCTACAAGAAGCTGCTGGAGGGTGAAGAACACAGGTCAGCATTTTAACTTTCTCTTTCTTTAAACATGCTTCAAATTTTGAACTTTCTTTAATGTGTTAGATGAATAGTAAATTCATTTTAAGGATAGCATAGCTATTTATAAGACATGATATACATTCATTTCGAATAGTAAAGAGTGCTGTATCCTAAGTAATAGAGATTTGAAAAGGATTCAAACTAAACAATATAAGAGGGAAATTTTATTAAAGCATTTTAAATATAAATAAAATACTAGCTCCGATTTGTAAAGCAAGCTGCTTCTACACTGGTAAGTCAGTGTAGGCCTAGATTTGTACGATAAGAAATTTGAGGTAAGAATGCCCTAATCTGACTGAAGTATCCCTGACTTGTTTCAGGGTTGGTCTGAGGTCACTCGTTGAACAAGCCATCGGAGTACAAGGAAAAGGAGCCGCCAATCTGAAGGATGTCATCCAATCATCTAGTTAGTATGGCACCCAGTTGTGCCGAGAGCCTCCGGTGTTCCATAGTTCTGTTCTTCAGACTTCTCTTAGAAATTTACGCAAACCTTTTCAATCTTTTTAGAGGAAGAAACATTTTCCATGTGATCAAATAGAAAATCAAAACCTGCATACTGTTTAAAAACCTATGCAGTCTATTTTGTACCAGCTGTGACTAAATTTTAGAAATTTTAACAATTTTAGACTTTAAATTTTCTCCAACTAACATTACTGCAAGATGAAGACATGTCCAATGACAAGCTCCTACTAGACTATAGAAATTTCCAACAGAGCTTTGTTAGAATAATCTAATGCCTCGGCCATCTTTGTGCTAGAAACTTTTTTTTCTACTTGAAAGACTGCCATTATGATAACAAATTTTGAATATATGTTTAACAACTTATAGTGTTATGGGCATTTCATAATGTTCCATAAATAGAAGTTTGGTGCTTTGTACTTTTCTAACCATTGTAGTTGATCAGTACTTTGTACTTTCTATCATGGGTGCTGGTGTGCTCGGCTCTTGGTTTTGTCCTCACAATTTATTATTATACTTGTTCTTAATCTTGTACTATTAATTGTTTTTTATAGTTACTACTACACTGCTTGGATCTGTCTTGCTTCAGACTACTTTCATACTCAATTCAGTTCAGTCTTGTGTGATAAATACAAATGTCCACTTACAATGTGTACGTTAGTGTACCATAAATACTTGGACAGAAAATGTTTCCACACTATTTTTTTTTATTTACTGGTTAAGTTGGGTGTTGTTTTTTTTTACCTCCACCAACTATGAGGTTTAAAATTTTAAACAAAAAGGTTGTGAAATTTACTTTATATTTTTTGCTTGAGCGCTTGAGCTGTTAAGCGTGAGTGAAAAATCAGCATGACTGCATGATTTTCACCATGCATTTCAAGTAGTTTGCAACTGCTTCCTTGCTGCATGGAAGAATCAATAGCTGGATGATTAAATCTGACAAAAAGCTTTTATTTCGCACAAACAATATTTGCGTAAGGGCATTGATTATGGTAAAAAAATATCAGATTCTTGATAACATGAAGTTTAAAAATCAACCAAGTTACACCTTCATACTAACAAATCCTTTGACTGGAATTGTTATAGTGGAGACTACACCTCCGGTAAGTAAACTTTCAAATGTGCTTTGACTGATCATATCTGTCAGTATTCACTTTCCACTGTGCTGTGAGTTGTTTCTTGCATTGTTTCAAACAAGTGCTAACTACAATCACTTATTGATTGTGTATAATTATGTGATACTTTTTTTAAAAAACATTTTTGAGCAAGTTTTTTTACCTTGTCATTTCCCTGCTCCTTTTTATTTTATTCTGTGATAAATTCAAAAAACGTTCTGACAGTTGGAATATAATAATAATAATAGCCTAAAACCTCACAACTTTCAACAGAATTAGTTTACTTCTAATGGTGAAGGGAGATGAACATGTTTTAGCAAGTTCATTCCAAATACAAAAACTGCTTAACTTTCGTTGCTGGCTTACTGTTTGCTAAACATTCCATTTACTTGGAGACATTTTCTGTTCAATCTTATGTTTAGATAATAGAGATTTAGATATTTTCCATTATATCTTACGGCTTTACTGTAACCATCATAATTCATTTAATGTTTTCCTTAACTTATGAGTATAATATTAAAAATGTGGATTTAATAACCAACGAGACTAGCTTTTTTATAAAATAAATGTTGCAATGAATCACAACTGCAACTATTTAAGTACCACATTTTTTACTAATAACTTATGTAACCTATAGTATCTCCCCCAGTTTCAAATTGAAATCAGAAATTATTTTCCACAATCAAGAAGATGATTTCATATTTAAGTTTATTTTCTGATTTAACTACAAAATCTTGCTTTCACACATAAAAAAAATGTATACCCTTTTTTGTCCAATGTTAAGTGTTATATTTCTTATTTCTATCGACAAATGATCTTTATTTACAGAGTTATTTCCTTTAAGCAGTTTTGCTATGTTGCAAAGTCCAACAATAAAAGATATACATAAGACAAAAATGTTGGCCCTTTTTATTTATACTATATTGTGTAAATGCAAGAATCCACAGTGACTGCCCTTTGATTGCTGTGTTGCATTTAAAACACATAATAAAACAACTGTGACAAAATAGGTTGAAAATTGTAACATTTTGCCTACTTGAAAACCCTACACACTAAAACCCAAAACCCTAAAACACTACATTTTGTTATTTCCAAAAAAAATATTCATAGTTGCTTTTCGTTCCCAGAAACTAAAGAAGAAGAATATGAACTAGGTATGAAAACATAATTCATACAATCCTATTTTAAAATTTACCAATACTGAAAATCTTCTATATTCCTTTTGTGTTGACATTTAACAGCTTCATTATAATTTATAAATTATATTTAATTTTAATTGCACACGTTTTATACATGTTAAAATTAAATGGGATTGGATAAACAGTGTATATAACAAACAAAAAAATTATAATTAAGCTTACTCTAAAAATTAACTCTTAATTAATTAATTTTTTTGCCAATTAAAAAACAAACTTCTCTGGTAATAGGTTACATATCAATATTCCTCACTACTATCTGTTTTTAAAAACTAACACTAAAGATAATTACAGAGAAATGACATAAGAATCCCAAAACATTAAGCTTTTTAACAATTTAAAAGCTAAAGTCATTCAAGCATAAATTATTTGAGCTTTTCTAAATTTTATGAATGGCCCCAGGCCAAGTCTGCCTTGTCACCTGTCAACATTTTTAAAATTACCTTTATAAAAATTAGTGATCTTTAAGATGCTCAGCATAAAGTTTTATCTAAAAATTGAAAGTACTAAAAAGTTTTATTTTATAGGACTTTAAGTGCAGTGTACTGATTTTGAATAGCAAAAGTATATTATTAAATCATAAGATTATAATATTATTCTCTTTTTATTTTGAGAAGAGACAACTGATGTTAATTTAATCATCAATATCAAAATATGCTAATTCTCTAAAAAAAAATCATATAAGTAGGTCACAAAACAACAAAAGTAGGTCAGGAAATATTTTCTCAATGGAAAATTTTAATGTTAATGCTTCTTGGGCAGGATTTAAATTATCAATATTCCTCACTACTATCTGTTTATAAAAACTAACACTAAAGATAATTACAGAGAAATGACATAAGAATCACAAAACATTAAGCTTTTTAACAATTTAAAAGCTAAAGTCATTCAAGCATAAATTATTTGAGCTTTTCTAAATTTTATGAATGGCCCCAGGCCAAGTCTGCCTTGTCACCTGTCAACATTTTTTAAATTACCTTTATAAAAATTAGTGATCTTTAAGACTTAAGATGCTCAGCATAAAGTTTTATCTAAAAATTGAAAGTACTAAAAAGTTTTATTTTATAGGACTAAGTGCAGTGTTCTGATTTTGAATAGCAAAAGTATATTATTAAATCATAAGATTATAAGATTATTCTCTTTTTATTTTGAGAAGAGACAACTGATGTTAATTCAATCATCAATATCAAAATATGCTAAGTCTCTAAAAAAAAAATCATATAAGTAGGTCACAAAACAACAAAAGTAGGTCAGGGAATATTTTCTTAATGGAAAATTTTTATGTTAATGCTTCTTGAGCAGGATTCAAAATATCCATTAACTATACAACTTTATATAAACCTAGTAGAATGTGATGCATCCGTGCATTAAAAATAATATAATAAAAGAAAAGAGATACATCCTTGATAAGTCAGTGAGGTAGAGATTTAGAGATACAGTGTAGGTGACATTGTGCGAAGCCATGCGCATCGAAATACCCTACCCGCCGTACCCTCCTCAACCCCTTTCCCCCCCCCCCCCCCCAACAGTGTTATTTACCAAGTAGGCATATATATAAAACGCGCACTCTTAAAAACAAATCTCCAACCATCAGCATTTTTTACTGTAGGCTTGTACTTGTAGGCATAGAATTACCGTGTCACGTAGAGTGAAAGCCACAAGTGAACAGAAAAAGACAGATGCGTTGGCTCAACTTGAATGTCAAAATAAAATAGCGTCACGTTCACGTAGGGGCGCTAACCGCGTATGACGCATCTAAACAACAAGAGGGCACCTACTTCACGATCGCACCATACTTATAGGGTGGGCGTGTTTTAACAACAACAGGGGGTTGTTAAACGGTACAGTGGTTTTCGAAACTAAAGGGGAGTGTTTCGGTGTTGAGTTTACCTTTTGCCAGCTCCGGTTATTGCGAAAAAAATTATTCGAAACTAACGCTGAAAAGTGAAGAGTAGCTAATGTCATATGTGACGTGGGGGGAAGGGAAAGGGGGACCTATCTAATATAGATGAAAGTATTACGTCTACGTTGAAAAAATGGGGGTGGGAAATAGATCTTTGTTAATTCCTCCCTCCATGACTCTTATTGTGTAGGTTAGAACGTAAGTTTTGAAGCGTTAACGTGGAAGGGAGGATATCTGATTTATTTTCAATGGTGAATCTCTAGACGGCTTATTCATTTATTGACTTTAGTTGTAGGCCTATTCTTTGTGTGCGCTCAAGGATTTACGTCACCTTTTATTCTTTGCTCAAGCAGATCCTTTCAATAGCAAATGTATGTCTAGTTTCAATCGTTAAAAAAACTGCATACATATACAGATATTTTTTTTAAGAGCATGTCATTCATATTAGATGCTTCTTAAGTAGGTCTTGGTCTTTAAAAAATAAATCATATAGATAATTGTTACGTTGAATAAGGGTCTGATCAATTCGAACCAAACTTTAGAGGATAAAACACAGTGAAAAATAAAATGAAAAAAATCCGCACAATAATGTCGCTAGACCAGACATGATTATTGATTATGTAATGAGGCGTTTCTGGGTAGCTGGAAGAAACCAGACTAGAAAAATCAATAATTACTGGTAACTTTCCTCCATTAACAGGCATTAATAAACCGTAGTAATTTTTTCTTTCTTTGTCGACACGGCCTTTTTTAAATCCCTATTCTTTTTTTTTTTTTTTTTTTTTTTTTTTTTTTTGTAGACAGACTTGTATGTATTTGCCTTACGTGACAAACGTCGGTAGAAATAAAAGTATGTAAAATGTGGGTCAAAGTTCATTAGTATTCACGACTGGCGTAGTTTTTTTAAAATGATGCCTTATACTGCCTTATAGTAACCAACATATATTTTTAGATTAAGTTAATAAGCTCAGCCAACAATTCTATTTGAAAATAGCCAATCCCAGTTAATTATTTATTTTGATATCAATTTTTTAAAAAACCTGGCCCGTTTAGTTGTCAAAAAGGTGCACTTGCAGCTTACCTGGTATTTAAATAAATTATAATCTCGCATTCTTCAATCTTCTGCGAATAAAAAAAATGTACAATCATTTTTTTTTCTAATTAAATGTACTTTAGTAAAGCTAGAGTTTTCTTTCTCAAAACAACCCCATTTTGATTTCTTTTCCCACTATTTTTTTATTTCTTACACTTTTACTCAAATTTCTCCCTATTCCGTCAAACTGATGCTCCGTTTTAAATTTAAATTAATACTTAGGGCAGGGGCCTAATAAAGATAAATATCTAAACACATTTCCTTTAAGAATATTTTTATGAGAGGTGTATTTGTTTTTCATGGATGCATTATTTTTCATAATACAACCTCTTCACATGATTAATGGATATAAACCCGATGTTAAAGTAGGTAATAGATCTAGTTAACATTAAAGTAAAGCCGATTTCGCATTTCGATTTACTTCCATGATGAAACAGAATAGGAAAACAAGTTGCCGCGTTTTCCTATTCTCCTTAGCTTTTGTTTACTATTGATCTGAGCATCATTTTTTTTGGGGTGTACCTCGGTGATTGGATGCTATTCTATCTCATTCGTGGGAAAGATCAGGATTTAAAAAAGATGAGTTGAACTTCATTTAATGTTTCACATTGCCAGGTTGTGACTTTATGGAAGACACTTATTGAACGTTTGCATTGTAAAGTTACCAGTATTTAAAATAATTACAAACGTTGATGTAATAATTATTCAAATATTTTTGTTATTGTTTACTGGCTTTTTAACGAGATTTTTAATTACTTCTTCCATCAACCAAGTCCCAGCCTGGAAAACAGTTTAAATTACTCATGAATTGTATTTGCTTGAAACGCCTTTTCTCACTTTTCCTCCATTGTTGTATCCTCAGAGCCACACAGCACCCAATAATTCTAACATATTTTATATTATATAATATATTTCATTATTTATTAATTCATCGCAATCGTTCTTCAAAAAATTATAAGTAAATTACCAAATGCTATTGCTCTATTAACTTTACTAATTTAATCCTGATAATCTTTGTTAAATAAAAAACGTCAGACCAGTATTACTTTTTTTAAAAATTCAATTTTAATATTGACTTAATTGCTATTGACTATAGACTGCACTCAAATCTTTTTTTTTTTCTGCTACCAAATAGAATTTCCAAATTCAGCAACTTGTTTTTCCACCAAAATAAAATAATTTAGCATTCAATCTGTTTGTACTATGCTCTTCTGAAAACTTAATGTTGGAGTTTCACAGTAACTCTTTCAGGAAATAATTTTACATTTCTCATTTTGAAATGCTGGCTGTATCTGACATCCAATAGTAAAGCTTTGAAATAATAGCAATAAATTTATTATTCACTTTGTTTACAATTGAGCCTTTAACATTTTTAGCATTTAGCTCTAACAGTAACAGAGAAACACTGTTGTTATGAAAATACCAATCTTTGATCTCTAACACCAATAACTTAAATAAAATGTTATATAAATAAAATATGCAATATATTAGTGTAGCTAGACTAGTTTTTTAAAGAAAAACTTATATTGACTTGTATTATTAAATCAATAATCAATCACTTGCATTGCCTATTTATTTTACAGTAGTTTACAGCACACCTAGAATTTGTTACGGTGAAACTTCATGTTTTAAAATGCAATAACTTTTTATGTACCATGCTTTTGACTGTGGCAAGTGTAAAATAACTGTTTACTAGTCTGTGTATTTATTAATTTTTAAATATAACTGCACAAACTACATAAACAGATGCTTATAAGAGAAAAAAACAATTTTCCAAAAATGAACATAATAATAGTGTAACATTGTTGTTTTCAGCTTTGAGAGAATCAACCGGAAGTTTGACTGTCCAGAGATCATCCAAGGGTCCTATTGGATTCGCCAGCCTTGACCACAGTGGTGGAAATGTTGTCATTGAAAACACCACATCAGGTGCTCGTGCAAAGGTAATTTTTCTTTACTATTAATTTTCCAATGTATTCATTTACACATGACTAGAGCATGTTCACAATTTATTTCTATTTCTGATGTGTTTTTATTTATTTTTAAACTTTAGAGCCAGAGTTTGAAGGGATGGAAACTGGTAAAGACATCTGGTGGAAAGACCACTTGTGAGGTTGACTTGAAAGATTTGGAACTGACAGCTGGTCGCCAATACACTGTAAGTATATTTTGAATTTTTACAGAGGCAATAATTGTTTTTAAAAATATCAATGATAATTTTCATGGAAAGTTATCATTTACTGCAAGCAATATTAGATAAACTAATGATAAACTTTGTGTTTATTTGTCTAGAAATCCCATGATTGGTACATGAACACAAACTAAGACAAAACAAAAACAATCTTCATATATCAAAATGTTCTTGTTTCTTTCTCCCAGGTATGGGCCAAGGGTGCCAAGGACAGGGCAACAGCTGATAACGAACAGGTTGCAGATGTTTTCTCATTCGGTGTTGGAACCTGTGTTTGGAAACTGCTGGATGAAGCTGGCAATGTAAGTTGTAATTCTGCTTATAGCAAGTAAACTTCTTTTCTTCTTCTTCTTCGTTTTTAGTGTTGGGAGGGATCGAGCCTTATCTGCCAGAGGGTTTGAACTCGAGACTTTTTTTCGAATTTATCAACCATGAGCTTTGCCGACTCGACCATGCTTCCATCACAATTAAGGATTACGTGTCAACTGGTTTTGCGCCATTGAGGCCATTGACTCCGATTTCAGCCTGCTTTTCTTTTTGGATTTGCTTCCATAGCCTTTGTCCAACCAAGAACAAACTACAAGGCAGCAGTTGTTTGATTTTGGAGTTGTCTCTCCTAGAAGAGTGGCTGTCCCCAGCTAACGAGCCTCATCTGCCAGAGGGTTCGAACTCGAGACTTTTCGGTTTAGCAACCATGAGTTTTACCGACTCGACCAAGTCGACCCTGCAAGTAAACAATTCTGGCCAATAAAGTCAGAACTAAAAATAAAAATATCAGGAAAACATCCACAACTATGATTTATTTTACATCAATCATAGTATGAATTATACTGGATGAAAAAACATTGTGCTTTTTAATGTAAATAATATTAAAAAATCCACTATTATTCTTTCTTTCCTACCTAAAATTTAAAATAACCTCTTTACTGTTTTGCAGGAGAAAGCCACTCTTACTGCCAAATTCAGCGGTTAAATGGAGTTAACTCACTACGCCTGACGTGGGAATGTAGACCACTCTTACTTCTCCATTTCCGTTTCGTGATTTGGTTGAATGGCAGCATTTACATTTCGAGGGCATGGAGACATGGGGCGGGTTAAGAGAGGGATATTTTTTAGAGTGCAGAAAAAATTAGATTACCGATACAGGTGTATTTAGACTTTTAAATTGGAATTTATTTGGTCAAGGCGTATGTTATATAAACTGAACATAAAAACTTGTAAGCAATTGTTTTTAAATAATTTTCAAACTGTTGTACAGACTGATGTTTCCAATATTTTTTTTTTTTCAAAAAAATTTTATACCTATCTTGCACAAACCATTTTTCTAACAACTTAATAATCACTGATACTTCAAATTTTTTAATCTTTTAAGTACGATCATTGATATAATTATATAATGAACACTGAAATTTTATAATATAGAAAAGATAAAGAGTAATAAATGATTCTAGGTTTATGTTTTTTACAGTAAAATGCCTGAATCTGTATTCTGCTGCAGTGAGTGTGATCATGTTTTGTCAATATTCCCAGCAAATGGTTGATTGTGTGCTTTTCCATTTCATGTGATTTTTTAAAAAATAAATTTCAAATTTTTCATTTCTCAACTTCAAATTCCATTTTTGCACAAGTAAATTTGGATTATTAACAAAGATTAACATTCCTAATTTTATTTTATTTTTGTAAATGAAAATACAGTTCAATATTGATGTCATCACCAGTTCCAAATAATCAAAGTCCCTTTATTTATGTGTGTATTGATAGGTTTTGTACGACCATGTTAGAAGTAGATTTTATGTAGTACAATACGTAGTTTGTATGCAATGTTGAACCCATTATTACAGAATGCCTGTATACATGAAAAAACAGAATGGGACTATGTGATAAAAATATAAAGATAATGGAACATAAAGATAACTAATTATTTGAGTTGCTGTATTTCAAATTATTACTGTGTAGTAAACTGTAAACTCAGGTTGTGATTTTTTTGGAGTAAGCTCAAAGGTTGTGACCTCGACATTGAACAAGCATGTTTTTAACTACATATTTTTTAAAACAACGATTGAAAATTCCAAGGTGTTTTCCTACATCTGTGCAAGTCTGGTAATTACACACCACAAGATGGTCATGATACACACCACAGACAGTTCTTTGCACGGCTATGTAAATATTTTTATGAATGATTATTTTTTCTGCATCCAGCTTATGCAGGCAAAACTTAAATTTTATTTGTTTCCTGCTGCCATTTTTTAAAAAATATTTTAACAAGCTGCTCTACTTTAAAAAGTAAATGACCCTGACAGTGTCATATATTTTTTTCAAATACATTCCTCTAGTTATAATTTTGTTTGTTTCACATTTCATATGCAAAGAACTTTTTTGGCCATCCCAAGTTGAATGTGTATTAACAGTATTGTGACAGAAAAAGCTTATTTTCCTTACTGTTTTTTTTTTAATTGTACACATCTCAGGCTTTTGACTGCAGAATGGGAGTGAGAAAGAAAATTCAAGTAGCTTAGACTTCAAGGTGCTCTGTGTATAATTAGGGTTGTTTTACTGCTTTCAAATGTAATAAATAAATATATAATAATATATATTCTATTAAATATAATGAGTTGTTTGCTTGGCATTTATGAGATTGTGGGAACTGTAGCCGAATTTAATTACAAGCCAAAGACTGGAAATGTTATTGATGTACTCAACCCAGTGTGTATTTCAACTACACTATTAAGAAATACTAAGCTAAGAATGTTTAGCACAGAATTTTAATCTAATTTGTGCTATGACTTGGAAACATGGAAGGTTACCTGTGTATTAGTAAAAGTAAAGTTCCCTTTTCAAACCTGACAGTCCAGGGGGGCGAGTGAAGTAAAGTTCACCTGTTTATGTTACAGTAACATGTGAAGGGATACAACTCATGACTGTTCTATCACAATCCAGCACCTACTGTTTGACTTGACACTCAATAAGGTGGATGTATACAGATAGGTGGACTTAGGTCAATCCTATGACCACAAGAACTGACCTAAAGATTTGACATGGCTGTCTCTAAAAATAGAATTAGAATTTGTGTGTGACCTCATCATTGTGTGGTCTGAACTAAACAATCCATGTTTACTATGATTGATTTCAGAAAGCTTTTAACTCTGATCAAAATTCACACTTATTCATACCAGTGAATTACACCATAAGAAAACTTCAAATATTTATTTATTAGATTTATAATAATAATTATATATCTTCAAAAGACAGTAAAAAAAATGTACACAAACATTTTTAAAAAATATATTTTATTATTTAAAAAAGTTTTCATCAAGATATCGCTGTTAATCTGTTGGCAGCTGTAAGCTTAGGTGTCAAAGCTGTGAGGGCTATCAACAAAGCCTCCTAAAAAATGGGGGGAAACATAAGAATGGTAGAGTATGCCAATATTTTTTTAAAACAAGTATTACACTAAAGTAACATTAATAACATACCAGGCAATGAGGTACACTTATTTTTATATTAGTTCCTTTTCAAATACAAAAAATATAATCTAGAAAGCTATTTCAGTCAGATGATTTTTTTATACTTGAAAATTAAAAAATGCTAAATTTGCAAGCTAGACTGTATCTACATCTATGTTAACTTTTGAAGCTGTAGAAAAACACAATAGGAATGATTCTAATATCTATACAATCTATAAGATCAGTAAATTGGGAGGCACAGAGGACATACATGCTAGAATTAATGTGCCCACTGTGCTTTCACAGATCTGCAACCCATTTGGAAAAAATCTGACATCACCAACACAACAAAAATTAGGATTCTAAATTCAAATGTTAAGGCAGTTTTGTTAAATGGATCAGAGATATGGTGAGTCTTCAAAGCAAGATATGGAGAGTCTCCAAGGCAAGCACAGAAGATTCAGAAAAATATAAACTAATATCTTAGACAGATTCTGAAATAAAGGTGGTAGGACAAAGACAGATGGAGAAAGACAAGCCAGAAGCCCATGACAGTACAATTAAGGAGGAAGTGGCACTGAGTGTGACACACTGTGAAAGGCTCACTCTAATGTGACATGCCAGACGCTGGAGTGGAACCCCCAGGGAAAGCAAAAGAGAGGGCGCCAAGACATACCTGGAAGAACTGAAGACAGCCTGAACTGCATAGCCCTAAAATATGCCTGCAATTTCTCTGGGTTCATTAGGGGAAACAACAACACCTTAGAAGATTTTATTTGTAATACAACATAATATCATATTGTTACCAGTCTTCCCTACTGAAATTAAATAGTTATAGTAATTCAACATTTCTTTTCACTATGGTGTTGAATCCTTTTGGTTGATTTTTTAACAATCTTCAGAAATCAAAAAGTAGTTTTATTCAAAGTATGACAAAAAATAATTAAAATGTTTTATGTTAAAAAACGTATGAAAAATCTTTGTGACTGACACCTGGAGTTTGTTCTTTTAGTTTTACTGCCAAATACCATTTTCATTTTTCAGTCAAATAGAAGTTTTTGGAATATTTTGTTGTTTTTTAAAATACTTTTCTTTTAAATTCATTTTAAAAATTAGAATTTTTGTATCTGTTAACTTAAGATGATGTAAAAATCCAAAACATATCAAAACTTATTGAGATGTTTTACTCATCTACCGAAAATGAAATGAACAAACCTGTTTTAAACCAATATTTGCAAAATATCCTGCATATTGTTTAACGCTGACAGGCTTTTGAATCTGATTCTCGAAGATGATGAGGGGTGTCAAAGGGGTTCAACAAGCCTGGAAAGATATTTTTATGTCTTCTAAAATAAACTTTCACTTAGATTTACCATGAGTATTATGTGCTTGTCATCAACAATAATGGATGCTAAATATCTTTATCAGGCTGGAAAAAGCGCAAAATCATTAACAGGGCAAAAGAGTACAAACTAAGAAACAAATGGCATTTATCATTAAATGTTTTACAAATTAAGGCATACAAAGGAGACTAACAAAGTATACTTAATAATATCTTGAACTAGATAAATTAACAGAAATAAAATAGCATGTATAAACAGGCCGTAAATTAATGATTAATTTAAAACAAATGTTTTCTAAGCTTAAGATAATAACCGCACAATATAGGCACAACAAGCAAACTGAAAATTATATACTGAAATGTATAAAATAACATGACGAGCACTTCAATCAAATACAAACTCACCTGCATGGGCTAGATCTGGGTGGTAAGGAAAAAATGCTTTCCGTAGATACTGTGGACACTCAAGATACTGAAGAATGTGGAACAGCTGTGTATTGCCATGACCTGGCTTTTTGAGGCCACTGAATTCAGACTTAACTGAAATTTGGTAATTCAATAGTTACAATATTATTAATAAATAACATTGGAGCAGGCAGTAGAAAGAAAAAGTAAGTGGTGATGTAATGTTCTAATAGTGGGAATTTTTAAAATAAATAATTACATTAAAAAAGTGTTACGCTAGTTAACCTAGTTTTTGTATTTCTTCATACACAATGATTTCATCAACATTGAAAACTGCTGCAGCTCTGGCAATCTAAATTAGAGGATTGGAAATCAATTTTTTTAAAGACAAAAGCAAACAATAATGTAAAATTTATAAAATCATATAGATAATTTCTGTACATTTTAGGACCTTTTATTAATGAAACTTAGATATATCTAGATCTATCTAAAAAAATTAACAAAAAGCATACTACATAAATCCCCTATCTTTCACTATGACTATGAGACTACTTTTAGTACTTTAAATTGTTAACTATTATCATCTATAATTTTAATTTATATTTCTTTATATTAATTAAAGGTTACTAGATTGTAGATAGTGATACATACATGCCCTGCAATTAGTTTTTCTTCTCCCCATTTCCTTTTGAATGCTTTTCCTGAAGAAAGGTTGAGAATTTATATTGTCTTGTATAAAAATTGTAGCATAACAAAAATTCTTTTTAACACGTTTTTATTAACTCAGCTTCGCGTTTGTGGATGTGTTTGTTGTTAAAATTGACATCGAAAATTAGCCCACTTCTGATTGCTCTATAGATCTGAAATTTGGCATGCAGGCTACTTTCGCCTAACAATTTCAGATGCAATCATAAAAACTAGCAATTAGAGACCGTAATTAGCTTAATTTAATTACGCCCTAAGGACCATAAAATTGAGGACGTGATTTCTAAAGATACCGACAAGACTGAAGGCCTACTGACACAGTTACTTCGGCCCCAATCGATGTGAGCGCGCTGGCCGTGATCGTATAGTGGTTAGTACTTCGCGTTGTGGCCGCGACAACCCAGGTTTGAATCCTGGTCGCTCAAGATTTTTAGTCCGTGTATTTATAAACACTTAGTCAAGTCATACTTAATCAAGTCATTGGATAAAGTAGAAAATAAACTATATAAAAAACTTTTTTTAAAAACCACGTTTTTCATGTGTAGCAACGGACTAAAAAGGAGAAAATAAAATACTTAAAAAAATCTTTTTAAAAAACCACGTTTTTCTTGTGGACTAAAAAGTAGAAAATAACTATTTACATACATTTGATGACAAAAAACGTGGGTCGGGCAGATGGGTCGGGAAATTTGATGGTGAACGTACCCACGTTTTTTGTCATCAAATGTATGTAAATAGTTATTTTCTACTTTTTAGTCCACAAGAAAAACGTGTTTTTTTTTTAAGTTTTTTTTAAGTATTTTGGTAATCCCTTAGTTTAGCGTCGGAAATTATCGGGTAATGTTTGTTGAGTCTCGGTAACTAGAGTTACGGTAAACCATGGTTTATTTGACCATTGAAATATAAATAAATTGAAAGTCGATTGTAGTAAATTAATGTTTTAATTTTTTAAGTTTAATCGACAAAAGGAAACAAGAATAAATATAATAGTAGATTTAAATTAGTAGATCTAAAAATTTAAAAAAAAACATATATTAATATAAATATAAATAATGAAGTCAAATGTAGGCTAATAAATAATTTAATGTTTTTTGCTTGCAGCGGATTTGCTACCATTAATTAATTAGATCTAGCTAGATATCTAGCTGCTAGGCCAAGTAAAAAAATCTAGATTACGAAAATAGTAAAAATGATTACAAAATGTAAAAATGATTACAAAAATAAATCTATCTAAATTTTAAACATTCTATAATAGATTGACGATAGAAGCATGTGGTTGTATATAACGTTTATTGGGTCTAACTACATGATGGTACCACAGAGAGGAAGGAAGTACAATGCACAAGGGACATCACTCAAGATAACAATATAAATATAATACTAATACAGAAGAGTGAGTTCCCTTGACCTCACAATTATCTCAATCTATTACATCCCTTTACCCTTAGAACACAATAACACATCTCTCAATAGAACAATTGATAGTATCCTAAAATCACCAATTATATTGTAACATGAACACTATGGTAGATTACATCCTTACAAACAATGCACAATATGCCACAACATAATCAAGATACAAAACAATGATGTCAAAGTCCTTTTGACCTTTAAAATCATAGGTCTAACTTATTTGGGACTTTGATTGTCCTGCTTGACCTTCTCAGTGGCTTTTGATTTGGTGACTCAAGATTCTGACCATCTAGATTCTCT